TCAGTGAGGATGAGGAGCGCTCCAGGCTGGGCGAGGCCGAGGCCGATCTCCTCTGGAAGGAGGAGAGGCAAGCCAAACTGGCCCAGTGCAAGCAAAACCTGGAGAACGTCCCCAGCACCGACACCATCTACTTCCTCCAGGTGCCTGGGTGGGATGGGGCGAGGAGAAGGAGCCGATAATATTGTCTTTTGGGGTTTTGTCCCATTTCACGTGGAGCCGGGTGCCAGGAATCCTGGGATGGGAGGGCTGCAGAGTCTCACTCCTGTTGACACAGTCCTCTCCCCTCCCCGCTCCCAGGGGCACTGGGCAGCCAAGACTTTCTCTCCATCACCCCCACCTCCATCCTGGCCGTGATTCAGGAGAAGCTGATGTGCTGCCCAGGCTGGGTACCTAGGTGTGGGAGGCAGAGAGTGAGAGGTTGGGGTGCCCCACGGCCCCCATCCAGCATCCCCTCCTCCCCAGCAGCCCAGCAAGAGGAGTGCTTTTTGGGAGGCGATGCTGCTCCTTGGGAGGTGGGGATGGTCTGGGTCCAGGTTTAAAAGGGAACGAAGAGAAGGTGCCAGGAACACGCGACGGGGAAAGTGCTCTCCTCCCTTATTCAAGGCTGTCCTTGGGCCAAGTTCTGTGAGCTGCCAGTTCCCAAATCCTCCGGGGCAGGGTGGGGTTGTGGAACAAGAGACAACTTTGGCTTGTTTGAAACTTTCTGAAACGCCGTCTTTTTGGCTCAGGAATTTCAGGCCTTAAAAGTAGCCATGGAACAAAACATCTCCCCGGCTCTGAGCTTCCAGAATGAACTGAACTTCACCAAATGCACCCAAACCGTGGGTGCCGTGAAGGATGTGCTGTCTGCTGCCTGCAAAAAACAGTGGGACCTCTTGCAGGGGAAAGGAACCGATGGGCTGAGTTACCAGGAGATGGAGGAAGGTTTGTGTTCACGCAGCCCCTCTGCCCGCAGGTCACCCCATCACCCTCCCTCCTCCCCACGTAGGTGGCAGATGCCTGCAGGCTCGATGGCCCCTGCGAGCACTGGCCCCTCTCCCTCCAGCCCTGGAAGCTGCTCGGTGCGGTTGTGCTGCACGTTGCACAATCCCTGTCTGGGCTTAACGCCTCGTCTTTGAGGTTTTATGAATTTTTCCACAGAGACCGGAGACAGGAGAGGCAACAAACAGCCTGGGAGTTAGGGAGGGCCCTGTGGCAGGGGGCAAGTGGCCAAATGGCTTCCTGTGAAAGGGGACTCTTTCTTCCCAGGATAGACGATCCTCTTCATGGGGCAGGCTGTGGTCTCCCAAACCTGCCAGGGTTAGAAAGCCGATGCGGCAGCTTTCTTCCATACTCTCTCGTTTAGCCTGAGTCCTCTCCTCTCTCTCATTTTCTTGGATATCCATGGGAATTGCCGCCGGTTCGTTGCCCCCCCTGCCCATCTCCCTTGGGTGGCAGAGGTGGCATCTGTCCTTGCCCATGTCTGAGCCAGCAGGGATGTGCAGGGGGAGCTGGGGATGCCGGCTGGGGCTCGGGGCTGCCGCAGCTGGCTACCCTCAGGGTGTCGGGTGGGGGGATGATGCTCCAGTAACACCCTTGTTTGTGGCATCAGTTTCTTTGCTGACGGCAAACCCTTCTGTTCCTGTCTCTGCAGTGTTGGCCGAGTACCGATTTCCAGACAAGTCAAACAATCCCGCCTGCCTGGAGAGCCGTGATTACTTCCTGAAATGTAAGCGAGGGACTTTTGCTTTGACAGTTGTTGCTAAGGTCCACCTTCCCTTTCCTCTCTCCTGGCCGGCCGGCTCCTTCCCGCATGCCTGGCTGGTGCTGGTCCCGAGCCGACGGCTGGCAGGAGTGCTGCTACCACCAGAGGAAATATTGCTCAGCTAACAAGGAAGCCTCCTTGCTTTCCTGACAATGGTCATAATTTGTTTAGGTGATTTTTTTTTTTCCCCCCCTTGTCTGTGGTTCTGCTGGACCAGCTGCCATGGGGGCTGCAGGCATACCGTGTAATTTCTGCTGCCTTTCAGCCCTTGACGAATTGGATCCTCCATTAAATTAAATCAGAGTTTGCGCATCTGCCTTGTTTGCCACAGAGCAGCGGTCTGATGAGGGCCGGCTTCAGCGGCAGCAAGCAGAGGGGTAATTCAGTGGCTGAGCGGAGACAGTGGGGCAGAGGGGGCTGAGGCTGGAGGGTGCAGGGCTGAGCTTGGCCTCCAACACCCTGCGCATCCCCCCCACAGCCTTACGGGGTTATGGGGTCACCTACTGAGATGTCCACAGGGGACAAAATCTGCCTTGGTGGCACCGGTGCGCTTCGCTGGGAGCCAAGCAGCAAAGCCTGGACTCAGGCAGGGCGTGCTGTGCCACTGCTGTAGGGTTTGGACGTGCCATGGGTTCAGCCCTGCAATGCAATCGGGAGCGATACGTGTCCAGGGCTATTCCCGCTGGACATCCCCTCTGTTCGGGATCCAGCGGTGGTTCTCACATGGCCCCGCACTCTGGGGGCTGTCTCTGCTCCCATGGGAGACATAGGGCAGCGAGAGCCGCCCGCAAGGAGCAGTTGGTTGGTAGCTTGATGTGCTTGGCTGTTCTTCTGTCTTCTTGGCATCCCTCCCTGCTGTTTGTCTGTGGTTGCTTGAAACCCACTTTTATATGGGATGCTCCTACTACTGCTCTGTCAGGTGGATTCTCCGATGTCTGGTATCACGGTTGAGCTCATCGAGCAGCCCCTCTGCTCTCTCCTCTGCTAGGTTACCTGTATTCATCCTGCTTATGAGAGTATCAACTCTTTCAGCCCCTTCAGGCTGAAATTGGCTGTGGGATTTAAAAGCAAGGGGACAGAGAGACAGGGGAAGTCAGAAACGATCGTGCTAATTACCAAAGGCTGGAGCAGGGGATCAGAGCAGAGAGGGCTGGGGGGGATTTCCTCCTGTTTCCCTCCTCATCCTCATGTCTCCTTCTTGCCCCACGCAGTTGCCTTCATCATTGACCTGGACAGTGACACGGCTGACAAGTTCATCCAGTTGTTTGGCACCAAAGGGGCCAAGCGGGTGCTGTGCCCCATCCCCTACCCGGAGAGCCCAACCCGGTTCATCAACTGCGAGCAGGTGCTGGGTTTGAACCTCATGAACCGGGGCAACTACTACTGGGAGGTGGAGCTGATCGACGGCTGGGTCAGCATCGGCGTCATCGCTGAGGACTTCGACCCCGAGGACTCCTACAACCACGGCCGCCTGGGGCGGAACGAGAAGTCCTGCTGCCTGCAGTGGAACGGACAGAACTATGTGGCCTGGTTTGGTGGCTTCGAGTCTGTCATCCAGCAGCCGTTTTTCCACACAATTGGGGTCTTCCTGCAGTATTCGGAGAAGACCTTGACCTTCTATGGAGTCAAGGACTCCAAGATGACCTGCCTGCAGCAGCTCAAGGTCTCCCATTTTACCAAGGGTCAGTTTGACCCCTTCCAGAACAAGATCAACCACCGATTTGCCTCTCTTTTCTCGTGCAAGCTGAAACCAGCCTTCTTCCTGGAGAGCGTTGATGCCCACTTGCAGATCGGGCCACTGAAGAAAGATTGCGTTTCGGTGCTAAAGCGTAGGTAACTGCCCAGAGAGCGGGAGCACAGGAAGACCCAGAAAAGTCTCTCCTTCAGTGTATTGCCGCTGTCACGGCTTCTCTTTGGTAGCATTATAGTTCTCTGTGGCAGCCCTCCCTCCCCGCTCTGTGCTGTTTGTGACCCAGGGGTGGATGAAGCCGTCTGGCAGGCAGAGCCGCGGGCTGGGAGCCAGGAGGGAGCTGGATCCGAGTGCCGGCTCTGCCGCTGGGCTGCTGAGCGAACTTGGGCAAGCCTCTGTGCTGCTCCCTGCCCCTCAGTTTCCCTTTCTGGACATTAGGGACCACGATACAGCCTTTCTTGGTAAAGCGTATTGCTCAGGAGAAGTGCCACATAGGTTTGAAGCTGTTTCTCGGCCAGCTGCCAGGCTGCCCGTCCCTCTCCTTCCTATCTGCTCACACTGCCCTGGTGACTTGCACAGATGCTCCGCTTTGTGCCTTATCTCAGTCTCTATGTCACTGCTGCTTTTTTTAAGCACTGGCTCATTGACACCTTCCGCATGCTCTTTATGAAGTGCCTTTGAAGTAGCAAGCCCAGCATGGACAGGGCAAACCCCCAAAGCAGATGTGGTCGCTTCCCTGGTGCCTGCATCACCGTTGTGCCTTGGTGTGGGTGAGCAGGGCGCTCTGGGCTGGGTGGGATGCAGAGGAGCCCGGCCAGGTGCAGGGGTGATGCTGTGGTGATGCGGTGGTGATGCGGTACCTCTCCTTGCAGGGCTGATCACCCATTAGTGCTGCAAACGTGAAATGAGGATCTTTGGCCTCCCTCGCGCTGCAGCCAGTGGGTATTTTGAACACTGGTCTGTGGCCAGGCTCATTTGGGAAAAGCTGTGGTCCCACATGTGTTGGAGCCCCATGGCTGTTCCCCACCACAGCCAAAAATCCCAGCTGGGAAAGGGGAGAAACCTCCTGCCGAGAAGCAGCAGCACCAATCCTGCCTTAAGATAGCGAAGCAGTTTTGAGGATGTGCTTTTAGTAAACACATTCCTCGGGAGCTGCTTACCGAAGATTTACAGCCAAATTTCCCCCCCGCATTTTTGATGACCCTACTGTTTTAGGGGATTTTAATCCTGTTGAACTCCCAACTCTTAAAGTACCATGGGCACACTCGAGCTGTGAATGTACCCCTTAGCTTAGAGTTTTATAAGTGACAAAGAGGTGCTGTGAATATGTCCCAGGAGCAAATGGTCTGGTTTAGGGACAGCTGTGAGCACACTGATAAAAGATGCAGCATCCGTCCGTTATTAAACGACCTTTTAGACTCTGGCAATAAGTAACAATTAACAAAAACTACTCTCAAGCAAGTGTCCCTGCCGGGAAAGGTGGAAACTTGAGGCTGAGAGCCAAAAATGCCAGTTCACGTGTCCCGAGGGAGCTTTTCCAGAAGAAAAATACAGAAATACTGCCTGTAAGGGCAGCACAGTGCAGCCCCTGTCTCAGTACAGCGTGCCTTTCCATGAGTTTATTTTTTCTGGGATTAGTTTGCTACCTACATCCTGAAGCTTACCTTACAGAACCATCGTGCTATGTAATATACACCTAGAGAGAAAATATATTGGGTCAGGTTCTTCGCTGGCATGAGTGAGTCAGTGGTGACGCATCAGTGGTCAACAGGGATAGAAAATGGCTCATTTAGCTAAATACATGAAATATATATATATATTCCGCAAAGGATAAGCTGGAAATCGTAGGGGTATGTTCAAGGGGAGCCAAGGGAAAAAAGTGAATGTGAATAAAAAGGCAGCCACAAAGCCGAGAGGTTTAAAGTTAAAGCCACGCTTATGTAAACACTGAGGCTTAAAGACCTCCTTTATTGTAACTCGTTTGCCAGCATTGCCAGTTCCTTCTGGCGTGGGAAGAGATGCCGGTCCCCAGCAAACGGCCGCTGCTGTGGGCTCTCATTTGAGGGGCTGAAGGGTCCGAATGCAGCCGTCCCCCCCCCAGGCAGGGCTGGTGAATTAGTCTGGGAGGGAGACTGCAGGGATGTGTCTGCAAATCCCTTCGCCTCCTCCTCCTCCGCATGCCACGACTCCTGAAATGCTGCAGGCAGTGGGGAAAGGAGGGATGGGGCTTCCAGAGTGAAATCTTCGGATGAAATCTTGGCCTTTCCCGGCCAGTGGGAATGCTGCCTGGACTTCTGTCCGGATGGGAATTCACTCCCCGTCTCCTGAGCTCCGACCTCAAAATCGTTTTGTGTGGCTCACGCCAGTCACTCTCCTACCAAACTCAGCCTTTGCATGAGATGTCAGTGGTGACACAGTGCAGGCATCGCGCCTGGTTTGCTAACACCGGAGAGGACTTGGTGTCAGAAATGCCTTACCAGATAAGAACGGTAGAGACGTGCAACAGCCCCTGCGTGGTCGTGTCCCGAGAGGAAGAGGAAGGTAACCCTGATCTCTGCTGCACGCCTGCAGGAAGAGATCTCACATGCGGGCTCCCATCTCAGCTCTGTTTGGGCCCTAAACCTCTTATCCAGGCAAAACTCCCACTGTTTGCAGCGAGGAGTTTTGCCAGAGTAAATACAGCAGATCTGGGCCTTTGCCCCGTTTCATTTCACTGTAGGCGGATTGATTGCTCCGTGGGGAAACCCATGCTCGAGCCACACATCCTTCCCTTCTCCGTGTTGCCCAACGCACAGATGCAAGTCTCTGAACTCCTTCAGGGTTTGGGGTGATTCCTGCATCTTTCCCTTTCCATCCTGTAACCACATGGGAGCAGGTCAGGAGTGTTCGGGCTTTGCTTCTGGTTGTGCCATTGCTTTTGCTTAATTCACCTCTGCCCCAAGAGCTGGGATGCTGATACACAGCTTTACGGAGGGTTTTGAGGGCTCCTGTAGATGCAACGCAGTTGGGAATTGTCACCCAACCCTCTCCTACCTGCTGCTTGCTTTTATCCTGGTTGGAAGCGCTATAAATCCTCATGTCTTAGGGCACAAAGCAAATTCTGACCAATTTAAGATGGGAGCAATCCCCCCGGGATTGGAGTTTGCTCTGTGTTGCCAATAATTTGGGGTGTAAACTGGAATGATTAGGAGATGTGCACTATGCCAGCTCTGGATCGCTGATTTTGCCACAAACGAAGGGCTAAATGCAGTCTGTGATGAGTTTAGATGGATAGATAGCACTTGGCAATTAAAGCAGCCCTTCCGTGTTCCCTTGAGTTATTTCTGCTGTCACAGAGTGTTCCTCTTTTTAATTAGGATTTTTTAAATATAGTTATTGTAGACTATTTTACAGTGTGTGAAAAAACTGTAACAGAATAATATAATGATGTTAGAGACTATGGTTTGCCATTAAATATTATACAGACATCACTCTGGGCTGTCTTTCCTTTAAATACCAAACTGTTAGAGTTGTCCCATTATCTTGTGTTTATTTTTCTGTGTCCTGTACATCTGGCGTAAAATAACACAGATTTTATTTTCCCAATGTGTCTAAGGGAATTGTGCCAAATACACATTTTTATTGCTCGACTGCAAAAGGAGCGGAAGAATCCTAAAATCCAATAGCAATATTGTCAGTCCTGGGCAATTCAAAACAATGAATTGTCTCAGTTCTCTCTTTTACCTCTGTCCTCAGCTTAGGAATAACAAAGATGAACAGATTAGGCACTTTTTCCTTAGTGTTTTCAGGCTTTAGAGTATAAATTTCTAAGGTTTTCCACATGACGAGGAGGTCTAGAGCTTCCCATGTACACTGGCACTTACACCAGCACCTTTGTAAATGAAGGCTGCGTTTCTTAATACCAAATGTTGGCTGGAATGAGGAGAAAAACATTATTTGGCGAGTCTTAGTTCGTGCGAGGTGACAATGCTTCAGCTGGGTGCTTCGCTGGAAGCCGAGTGGATGTCTGCTACTGACTTTAATAGGAGAGGAATCAGGACTATTTGTTATAACCATTTCTTAAAAGGGAAACTTACAGCTTATTGAAAAAGCGGATATGAAAAGCGCAAAGTTGCTCTTTTCTTGCCAAGAACCATACAGATTATGTCACTGCTTTTATTTAAATCTGGTTTCCATTATGTCATTTTTCTGCTTTTCCCCCCACACCCCATCTCGTCCTCAGGCACTCGGACAGGGCTGGGCTGCAAGCCCTGCAGGGAAAAGCTCAAATCCATACAGAAAGATATCATTTAGGGTAATATATGCTCTTAACAGATATTTGTATATTAGTGATATACAGTTGTCAGTTAGTGATATAAGCAACCCTTCAAAACGGTCGATCGGTTTTGCAGGGTTCCTGTTTTTAATGAATTTATGCAATCGTTAATTTTTTAAGAGTTCCTCCTGCTTGCGCACCTGGAGATTAGACCCTCACTGTAGCTCTGCGAATGCCACAGATATTTTTCTGCTCCCAGATTCCCTCCCTCCCGACACAGACAGACAGGGTCCTGACTTGTTTATAGGGTGACTGGTTAGTCCTTCCAGTTTAACACTCTCCAATATAAAGGGGTAATTTTAGGATGTGATTGATTCCAGCATGGAAAGCAGCCAAAATCGGGCTCAATAATCCATTTGCAAGTGTGTGAAACACAAAATGTGCATCAAACATGAATTAAAAAACTGTTGGAAACGGAGCAAGCATCTTCGCTGTTTAAAGGGCTAAGCCTCATTTTACGTTCGGTACCACCAGGTATGTGGGATGATTTTTATTCTGCTTTACCAAATGTCTGAATTCTGCCCTGCCCATCTCCTGGAAGTCCAGTTTTGTCTCCGTTTCACTTAATTCTGGGCTTTTCCCTGGGAGATCCTGCCAAACAGCATTACAATCACTTGCGGTTGCACAGGATGCGTGACCAGCCCCTTCTTACATGCAAAACTGGACAGCCTCCTAGAGAAAAGGCTTTATCCGCTAGCGAGCCGGCCAGGAAATGTCTTCAGGGTGAAAAATGAGGTGCAAACCACAGCAAAATACAACGTTTTAAAATAAAACATCAATGTGAAGGCCGTCGGGGTGCTCTGCAAACTCCCACCCGCAAAGCGCTGCTATG